TTAAATATTATGAAGTATTGATGGCTTTTTTGAGTGTGGTATTGTTGGTAACAAAAAATGGTTGTGCTAAACAGAGGGAATATTTGCTATTTTTGAATATTTCCAGCTGCGGTTGCAATTGGAAGAAAAGCTGAAACAGAATTTGAAAGATTACCGTGGCTATATTGATGAGCAGTGCCTTATAATCATGGGACAGCTGGATGCTCCATCAAAGATTTTTGACTACCTTTACCTGGGCTCAGAATGGAATGCTTCCAATTTAGAGGAATTGAAGAAAAATGGGTGTGTGATCTCTCTCTCTCTCTCTCTCTCTCTCTCTCTCTCTCTCTCTCTCTCTCTCACACACACACACACACACACACACACACACACACATTTTTCTATTGCTTTGTTTACTTCTCACACTGACAATTTATTTTTCCAACAATTTAGAATAGAATCATTGCCTGTTCGTTTTAGCACATTCATATTTGGTTTTCCTTTTCAGGGTTGGTTTTATTCTAAACATCTCAAGAGAGATTGACAACTTCTTTCCTGGTGTATTTGAATACTACAACATTCGTGTGTTTGATGTAGAGGAAAGTGATTTGCTCAGATACTGGGAGAAAACTTACAAGTTTATTTCCAAAGCCAAGTAAGAACACAATTAGGCTGATATCAATTTAAATAACAATAATTGAAATTCCAAATATTGGTTGATTATTGCCCTCTCAGACATTTTTACAGAAAGACAAATATAAGCAAAATTAAGATTGATTTTCCTGGTAAATTTTCAGTGTGGATGTCAAAATCATTGCAACAAAATTCTGAGGCTTCATTATGATTAGGATTTTAAAGTACTGATTCAATAGAAGGTGATGTTAAAATTGTAGAAATAATACCATTTTCTTTTTTATGCAGGAATTCAGGTTCCAAGTGTCTTGTTCACTGCAGAATGGGGATCAGTAGATCATCTTCCACTGTAAGTGAAAAGCAAATGAAGAATTAATTGATATCTATGTCTTTAGATTGTCATATATGTGGTGGTCAAGTCAGCCGAAATTGATTGATTGTTGAACAAGCATGACCAACCCAAATATTGAGGAAATTGGGATTTCTATTATAATTGTCAGGAAATTTTTTTGAAATGACCCAGAAATGAAAACAATTGTTTTCTTTTTTCAAGTATATCAGGCTGTGTAAGGGTTTGTTATACCTCAGATTTGTATAAATATCTTATTTCATTTTAGGTTACTGGAAGTAGCCTTTCCCAATTTGTTTCTTAATTGTGGTTGCAGTATTTTTAATTTGATATGTGAATTAAAGAGCTTTTTCTGTACTTGTTGTTTAGATTGACAACTCGTGTAAAATACTAGTCAAAGTGTTGAAGAAGGTATATAGACATTGTTTATGACTGTAGATAAAGTGGGATCATATTATCAGTGTTCACTGGAGTTTGCCTGTATATGTTTAAATGGATCAATGGGAATAACTTTTTATCTGTAAATACTTGATAGCTTCATTGCATTAGTTGCATATTTTTTACAGTTCAAAATCAAGGTTTTGATTATTTTAATAATCTGATTTTAGTACCAATTTTTCTGCAGGTAATAGCATTTGCTATGAAAGAGTATGGCTGGTCTTTGGAAGAGGCACTGAAGTATGTCCAGAAGAAGCGTAGCATTGCAAATCCCAATTCTGGCTTCTTACACCAGTTAGAGATCTACCAGGGTATACTTGATGCAAGGTGAGCAAGAGGCAGAGGTCCTATCATTTTCTTTTGGAAAAATTCTTTTTAGCGAATATGATAAAGGAAAAGAAAGACTATGACAAAACTTCACTGTTCACTCCTAATATGTGAAAGCATGTATGAGTATGTGAAGATCATTATATCCTTCCTATATTATAACACTGAATTTTTCTCTTTTAAGAGTTAAAATATCTTATTTCTGGTTAGAATACATATAATTTACTTTATGACACCTAAGTCTTACTTGTATCTGTTTACCATCTTTGACTCATGCACCTTCAGCAAACAAAGGCACAATTCCTTATGGAGGTCAAAGTCTGAAAACAACCTTAACAATCTATCTGTACTTCGACGGGAAGAGGAAGAAGAAGAAGAAGAAGATGAGGAGGAGGAAGAAGAGCTTGAATTACCTGGTGCAGAAAGCCCTTATTTGCAGGTACCTGCACTGCATCCTAGGTCTCAGTCCCATGAAGAAAAAAAGGCATCATGTATTCTCAGAGGTAAGTATTTAGAAAAGTATGTGTTCAGAAAAGGGAAGATTTGTTAAAGACCTCTCTGCATACAGCTGTTAGTCACAAAAATTAAGTATGTTTTACTTCCCCTCACTTTAACATGGTGCTTAGATGACAAAATATGTACACTTGCATGAAAATAGATGGCAGTGCTAGAAATAAGTGCTGGTCTTGGCCCAGTTATTCTCTAGCTGGGTCAAAAGAATGACCTTAGTCCAATGCTGATGAACCACATTAAAATAGTGCATTTAGTCGTGCACATGTACAGGATATTAGTTTCTATCTTTATCTTTCCCAAATAGCTGTACACAAAAGTTAAGTCAATATTCAGAATTTTAGGCTGGTAGATATCAAATGAGACCAGTAACTCTTGAGATCTACTGACCCAGTGTCCAGTGAACTTACTTTTAGCACTGGGATAGGTTACAGTGGGTGTTAGATTCTGGGAAGCTACAACATGACAAATATTATAGTGGAAATACTGATATACCTACAGTTATGCTGGTCTTCTTCTTTTAAATGTTTAGTCAACTGTCATATCATGTTTATTTTACTTGTCGTCTGTTTTAGATGACAAAATGACTTATACCTCCGTTGTGCATACTCATCGAAAAGTGAGACAGAGGAAAAGGAAAAGTTTAGGGTAGTTTGAATTGGGTAAATGTGGTACTTGTTGCACTCAAGTTGTGCATGTCACAGGTTGTGCCTTTCACCTCTACAGTGTTTCTGTTTACACAGTGTAGACATGCTGGAAAATGTTTGTAACTGCAGGTAGATAAGAATTTGAATGACTACCCGTTTGGCATGGCCATTCATATTTTATTACTAGCTAGTGCAATTATTTTCTTTTTTTTTTTAGGCATTTTCGTGTCAGATGATTACCTTTTTTTCCCCTTATAAGAATCTGTTGCATCTTCTCTTCTTGAATGCATAAACACAGACATTGGTCTTGTATGTGATCTCCTGCATGAAGTATGAAGTATGCACAACGAGGAATGAGCAGCTGAATTTGATACCAAAATTCTCAACCAGTTCATGTAGTGATTAGTAGATAGTTGAACTTAAAATTTTGTCATCTTGTCTACTGTTGGTTGTGGTGTTTGTGTAGCAGTTCTGCGGAACGTGCATGTTAGGCTGATTTCTCTTCGTCGTTCATCTGAATAGCTAGAGCCTGCATCAGAGTTTTAATATATATATGTACACTGTGTATTTGAACCAACATGGCACAAATCTGATGAATATCCCTGCACTTTTTTTGACACTTTTTTTCTGTGGCCATGGGTTTGCACAATCTTTAGACCATTTGTGTGAGAAGGTGAATACTTTGGGCATTGATAGACCCATCACAAGAGATGTGGGTGGGTCTATTTAGTGCAGCTTCGGGTAGGTTTGTCCTCAGGGATGGATGATTCTATGATAAAGTTGAGGGGAGCTATTGTCATGTCAAGCATTTGGTGTAGATATGTATCTACCATGGAGAAGTTTCTTAAGTGAAGAATGTGCAGTTATATGCAAGTTAGGAATTATTCCTTTGTTCTATGTATAGTACTTCACATTGCCCAACATGTGTCATCCACAACATTTTCACAAAATTTCTGTAAGATGTTGATTTTATTTTACTTACACTACAAAAAAAAAAAGCTTAACCTCACATTTTTAAATGTCACAGACAGCAAGGTTAGAGGGTCTTTTTTTAGAGGGTCTTTTTAGAGCTTGATTCATATTATTGACAACATCTGGTTAAAGTTGACATTCTGAATTATAGTAATAGTGTTTCATACTTTACATCTCAGCTTTTTGACATATTTCAGACCAACAACATCCAGAAGCCCTAGAGGCCAAAGACCTAGATAGAATGAACTTAGCTAAATTTGAGATGGATGTTGAACTTAGTTCCCGAAGTGCAGACTCTATGGATGAAGTCTTCCCTGATGAACCATCTCCAACTGCAGCAGGTCCAAGTGGATCGAATTCTTTTGAAATGAGTGCTGCATCTCAGACAAAGAAATCTGTGTCACAAGGTGCCTCTCAATCTCACTCTATCTCTGATGATGACCAAGATTCCAGTGATAGCGAAAGTAGTTCTGAGTCTTTGTCAGATAAAGAAACAGATGACAGTTCACTGTGTAGTGATTCTGATGTCTCAGAAAAAGGTGCTACTGGCTTGTATCAAGTTGCCTCTCTCCATGCCACATCCATACCTTCCTTTCAACAAACTAAGCAGAAACCTCATAGAAAGATGTTAGGAGAAATTCCAGAAGATAAACATCGCAGTTTGGCTCCTCAGTCCAAGTGCCAGCCACAGACTCCTGTAAAACGAGTGAAAAGTTTGCCCAACTTGGAGGAGTTGAGGCGGCGTCTGAAGAGGCCGCTTCAGCTGTCCTTGGCCTCAAGGCCATCACGGTTTTCTGGTGTTAGGCCCGACAACAGCTGGATCAAATCAGCACCTGAGACACCAGAAGCTGAAGAAACCGAAAGGCCAACATTTCAGACCGAGTCTTATGACAAAAAAACATGTGAAGACACAGATGAAGTGAGCTCTGTGTCTGTTTCAATTACAGACAGTGACGTTACTCCTGCTGATGCTGTCTCTGATAAGTCAGATTTGAGCAGTGACAGTGAAGAAGAAATGCCTGGAAATGCTGACAGTAAAGAAAATGTGAAAATCAAGGACAGTGATACTGTTAATGCAAACCCAGATGTTGGGGCCTTATACCATTATGAAAAAGAACAAATACCATGGAATCCAGGTGCAGTGAAAAAACACCGCCAGGTGATTGAAGAAAGTTCTGTTCGACATTCTAGTGTCAGCTCAGACAGTGGCAGTAATAGCATGCACAGTTCATTATCTGGCAGCAAAGAGAAACTTGTGAAAATCAACATTGTGATAGATGAGCCTGAATTTTCAAACAATTTATTAGCAAACTCTGAAAAAGCAGTAGACAAAAAGAATGCTTCTGAAAGAGAAATGGATTTGGATGAACCAGCTTGCAAGGAAACGTTAGTGGACAGAAATGCTGTGATTGGCATGAAGGGTGCTCCAGCCACAGACAGTGCTTATACACCTGAGGCTTCCCTGCAACAACAAGATGCTCCTGGGAGTGTCTATGAAGAGGAGGAGATTGCCCTGACCCCTGGATTGGTAAAGAAAACTACACAAGAAATTGAAGAGAAATACGGGTGAGATATGGCAAATGATGTAGAGGGCATTGATCCTAATTATTGCAGCAGATTCTGAATAAAAATACTCAAGATAAAATGACCTCTTTTTTTGTAATATGTATTAGTTCATAGAAAATTTAAATGGAGTAACTTCTATATTGGAGTTCTTATTACCTGTGTAATTGTTTACTTCCAGGAGTTTATCTTATAATGTAACAGCCCTGTCTTTGGCATCTGGGAAGCCAGGCCTGTCTGCAGACTTTTTAAGGACACCGGGAAAGGGAGTGCAAAGGTCCTCCAGCTTGAGAGTGCAGAGAGTGACACCTAAAGTCACCTTAGACAAGGGGAAGAAGACCTATTCTCCAATATTGACACCTCAAGAAGCAAAGAAAGGACAGAGAAAATGCAATTTCCCTCTACAAAGTACCAATACAAGTAACCTAGATAGTGCTACTTCAGATGCCACACCAATAGCTCAGGGTAGTGGTGTGAGAGATGAGACCAGTTTGCCTGTTTTCAAAATAGGACAGGAAGAGGTTCCACTTGCGCCTGGATTGGTGAAAAAACAAACCACGGGTAAGTTCACATCCCTAGTGCTACTGAATAATGGCAATGAATACAAAGATCCATGTGAAGTACACATTCCACAGCACAATCAGATTATTTTCACAAAAAATTCTTTTGCTGATTGGTGTGTGAATAATTGCCAGCTTTGAAATCTAGTTTCACTTTTGCTGTCTAATTGTCGAAACTTGAGAAAATTATCTTCCTGTGTTTTTCAGATTATGAATCTCTGTCATCAGAAACTTCTCAGAGGGTAACACCTGTTCCTTCAGTGCTGACAGAAACTACTGAAGACGTCTCAAAAGATAACCAAAGGGCATTGGTGGGAAGTGTAAAAAAGCAAACAGAAGAAATAGAAAAGAAATATGGTGGAGCTGCCCTAGACGACCAGCAGAAAACATCCACCACTGCTGATGAAGTTGCACTCCCAGCTTATAAGGAGTTAGAAGATGACATCCCCTGGGCTGTGGGAACTGTAAAACAACACAAAGAAGCTCTCGAAAACATCTCTAAAGTCGCTACAAGCCATGGTTCTTCAGGACTTGCTAGAGCAGATAGCATTGGTGAGATGAACAATAGATATAAAATGAACAAGGAGACATTAGGTCTTATCAGAGCCATTGGGAAACATTTGAGCGAAAGTCCACCAGAAGAACCACAGAACAAAGTCAAAAAGGTCACCAGGAATATAGAACTTAAGTGGGGTATATACAAGAAAGACTTGCATCCAGTAAAATCCCTGAAAAGGTCTTTAGATGGTGAGAGAGGTTGCTCCAGTGTAGGGCCAGTGGGAGAGGCTGCCAAAGCTAGTCCAGCCTCTTTAGATGCATCCTGTGATCAGCCCTCATCCAGTGGTGGAGTATCTGGGAAGGAGTTTTCTAGAACTTCAGTAGGTGGCAAAAAACAGATGGTGCTTCTAGGTGCAAAGGATGAAGATGACAGTCAGGGGACAAAGGAAGGTGTTGCTTCTGCCACGCCAGTAACAGTGAAGAACTTGGTGGGAAAATTTGATGTGCAGACTCCAACCATTTCTGAATCTTCTTTTTCCGGGGTGCTCCATGACAAGGAAAAACTGTCATCAAGTGGTGGTCAAGTTGAAATGATGAAATCTGTTGTGCCCAAGAGTAAGGATCAAGCTAAATTGCAGTCAGAAAAAGAAAGTGTAGCTGCAGTGCAGCAGACCACTGGTCAATCTGACCTCGTAGATAGTCAGAGGCCATCTGGGTCAAGATCCAGATCATCAAGACCTGCCAGTCTGGCATCTGCAATACCTTATAAGAAAGCTGCTGGTGTCGTATCATCAGTAAAGCAGAGGCCAAAATCTTGCTCTGATGATAGCTATACACACGAACTTTCCTTGACGCCCACAGCTGGTGCACCACAACTTGCAAGTGCCTTGAAAAATTCTGAAGACTTTGCTCAATGTCCATGGAAAAAAGACAGAAAATTACAGGGACGATCACATCCACTGACCAAGCTTGCTGAACAACAGAATATTAGAAATAATCCCTTTTATAGTACAATGTGATTTAGATAAATAGTAGAGTATGTGGGTTGTGAACAAAAGTGCTACTTTGCTGTGGAAAGGTCTTGGAGAAACACTTTGGCTCAAGACTGGTTTTAGAAAGGGATTTCAGCCCAAAAAGTTAGTCTCACTTTGGAATAAATCTGCAATTGTTCAGGACTAATGAAGTACCTTCTGGTCCAAAACAGTTTCAATTTCTTTCTTGGTATGAAACAAGCATTTATTTTTATTAGACTGCTACAGAATTAGTAAGGTCAAATAAGACCTAAAATTTTGATCTTTAATGAAACAGACCATTTTTAAAACTTTCCTCTAACAGAAAAATATTTTAGTATAATAATGGTGCTTTTCAAAACCTGGAAAAACTTTCTTTTTCATATTTCTTTGCAACTGCTTCTAACAGTAATGAAGTCATTACCAGAAGATATTTAAGTGAACAAGTCTGGATTCTAAGTCACAGCACAAAATATACAATCATATGATATAGTTGGGAATTTTGATTGTTATGCCAATGTACATAATTTGTTGGAATTAGAATTTTTGAGGCTAGTAAAAGTGCCTTATTCATTGTGTACAGCTGCCAATTCAACTATTTATTTAAGAGCTTATATTCATTAAAACCCTTACCATTGCTTATTTCACATGATTTTTATCTATTTTATTTATCAGGTAATGATAATTATTTTAATCTCGTTAACAAAATGATAAAATTATTTTGTTGGTTTGAGCTCACTGATTTGAAAGTTTGCTTTACACTGGGAAGCTCCTGTTGAACATTAACTTTGTAAATAGAAGCCAGCTGTAGTGGATTTGGTGCGATCATTACATACAGAAACAGACCAACAAATGAAATATGGACACCACAAAGGAATTCAATCTCCAACTGGAGTAGTTGCCAGCCTTTGTCTAAGCACTGTGAAAGATCAAGTGGGGGTTTAGTTTTGCACAGGAGCTTGACTTCACAGACAACAATAAGGCTATAATACCATATTTTGAAGGTTGCCAATTTGTATAAATCATTTATTACTATCTGGGCTCTTTGTCTCTTAAGATTGAACACACTTCATTGAGATGTTTTTGGCCATCATAACATGCAAGTGCATACAATGGTATTACGAAGGGATGGCAGGACACGCATAAATAATATCTGAAGAAAAATTTTATTTAGTTGATTACCGAGTTACAAAAGGGACTTGATAATGGTTACTGTAATGATGCAATTTTTTAAAGTCATTGAGAAGAATGTACTTCTAGTGAGGACAATTTAATAATAAGACTGATGAAATGTATAGTTGTTTAGGAAACATTCTTTCCATTTTTATGTAATGGTGTAATTAAGGTCTGCTCAAACTGGTTGGTGCAAAGTGCAATTCGGTGATATTGGAAATAAAAGACTACAAACTTTTTTGTGTTTTACTGAGACTACAAAAATACATGCATTTCTTGGTAAAAATGAGATAAAAATTATGCAAAATGTTACACATAGAAAATGTACTCTGTATATAACATAAGTTTTCTATTATAAATGTAAGTGTCTAACATGAGGACAAAACAGAAAAAGAGTAAAAATCTATTATACCTTGACATTTGCATTGTGGAATTTCGTCTGGCTATTAGCTTTTTTCTTTAACATGATAGAAAAAATGCCTAAACTTGTAAGGTTATCATAATTTCTCTCTTACATGCAATCAAATGTTGCCCAACCCCCCCCCCCCAAACAAATTTTTTTTTCTACAAACCCCAAAAAACATATCTCAGGTTTCAAACTGTCTGATACTTTGACCTTTTACAACATGGCCACCAAACTTTTAAATTGAGTACACAGATAATAAATATGTTAATGTCACAAAGAGAAAACATCTAAGAACGAGTATTTTAGGCTTTTGCTTCAACTGATTGTCCAAAGTCACACAGTATGAGGAACAATGCCTTCATGGTGAAATCCATCCTGGAAAATAAAAGAAATAACAGACTTTAAAAAAATGTGACTAAATAGGTTCAGGTTCACTAGCTGAAAAACCTGTGCAAAAGTCAGGCATGTTATAGAACATGAAAACAAATTGAGATTAAACACAACTCTGATGTTACAACAGAACGCACAGAAATGTAATAGTCAAACTCGGCATTGTAAATATTTCTGATACTGTTATACATCTGCAGAAGCATCTGAACGTGTTGAGCGAGTTCTTTGACAAATAGCATATGCAGGTCAGTACAAATAAAACAGAAGTCATGGTGTGTAAGAATGGAAGACCTCTACATAAGTATGTAGAGTTTTACTAAAAGAGAAAAAAACTTGAGGCTGTATCATATTATAAGCATCTTGGGTACTGGTATCAACATGTATTAATTGGTAATTTACTCTACTAAATAATGCGACTAAGGCTCCACGAGCAATCACAATGCTTAGATGTTTTGAGAAAAAATGTGGGAGATTAGCATATAATGTAGCCTTTCAAATCTTTGATAGCATGTTTTTTCCCATTTTGTTATATGGTGCAGAGATATGGGGAACCAATTATGTTGAGGTGGTTGAGAAAGTGCAAATCAAATTTTATATTTCTTAGGTTTACCAAGTTCTGCATCAAATGCAACAGCCATAGGAGAGTGTGGAAGACTACCTCTGTTGGTGCACACATAGCATTAAATACTGGTTAAAATTATAATGTATGGGACCAGATGGGTACTTGAGGCAATATTACCAGATGTTATATAATCTAGAGCTGTCTAGTAGAATGACATGGACCAGTAAGGTGTGTTATGGTTGTCACAAGAGATAGGAAATGTTGAACACTTTTAAGCGAGTTTACTTAGTGGTTGAAGGACACTGCGTTTCAACAGTGGTCAGCTGATGAGAAGGGCAATAATTAGCTGAATAGCCACAATAAGTGAAAAACTGTTAAATGTGGAGCGCTACTTTACTATGATTACATAGTGGAAGACCAGAAATGCCTTATCACGGCTCAGAACATCATGCCATGATTTGAAAATCAAGAGGGTAGACATCAAAATATAGATCTTGAATTAAGACACTGTGATTATTGCTGCAATGCTTAAAAAGAAGCATACATAGAGGAGGAGTACCATTCCGTGCTTGTGTGTCTACAGAGCCAAATATATCTCCAGCATTCAGGCAAACATATTCAACTTTTAAGAGGTTCATGATATCTGAACATGCAACTCGATTAACAAACTTGTCAATGTATGTGTATATGTGTGAGTGCTTCAAACTAAGGGATATACAGAAGGCATAAATTTGACTCCTGTTATTGTTATGTAATATAGGCTAGTGGTATAGTATAAACATTATTATTATAATATTTAGTAGTCAAACTGCCCACCTGACCATATTCCGATTCTTCATGGTTATCTCCATAAAAATGCTTCTCCAACAAGTCATTGGTGTGTTCTCTGATCTCAGAGTTATTGTGATATTCTAAACTTTCCAGTCCTGACAATCCATTGTTTTCTTCAAACATCTCTTTACCCTGAATAAACAACAAGGAAATGTCTCAAAATTATATGTTTCTTCAACTAATACTTCAAAACAAAGTAAAAACACTGTTTTCCTAGTAGTTAGATACACATTTAGTAATTACAGATCAGTGAATGCTTACATTTGGCCCAGGCATTATAGTATATAAGACCTCTACTCTTGAACTTTTGAGGTTTTAGATTCCTTAGACCCCTTCATTCATCCTAACTGTTATATAAATTGTAACTGTATGTAATTGGAAATTAAAAAGCACACACCTTTGGTAGTAAACGCAGTACCATTTCACTAAATCCTAGAGCCAAGTTGACCGCTTCAAGATCTGACACTTTCAGTAAACTAAGCATCCCTGGTAGACACCCTTGGTTCACCAATGCCTGGCAAAACTCTGCTCCTTGACAACTTATATTGCACACACAGAAAGCAGCCTAAAGAGAAAATGAAGAAACTATTTCTCTATTTTGAAAGTGTATAAATAGCCTTCCTTGCATATCTTGTCAAAATTACCAAGACTAAAACTCCAGACGTAAATGCCAAACACATTACTTGCAAACCTCTTATTTGAATGTTTACATTAAATTTTTCTGCACTATCAGCATCAGACTTTTCATATTACCTCTTTCCTAATATCAAAAGAATCCAATAGAAGAAAAACCAACTGGCTGAGTAACCCATGATTCATTACTTCAAGGCATACACTTCTTGTACCTACAAAGACAATAAAATGTTTTTTTACCAAGCGAAACAAAGGGGAACAAAAAAATATTGCTAAATGAAAATACCAACAAGAAAAAGAGGCTCAATGGCAGTTAATGCTTTTAGTACAAAAAATGTAAATTATGTTAACATTAGGAATGAGAAAATACAATTTTTTGATCCAGATTGCTAACAAAAATGAAAACAAACACCCAGATACAATGAATACCAGCCTTACTGGTTCCATGTAGATAAAACTAAAAGCCACTCCTCCTCACCTGTAATGTTTGATAACAACCACAAGCTCTCTTTCCTGATGTGCCTATGCTGTGATTTCAGGTATGTTAGTAGTGCAGTGAAGAAACCCTCATAATGACACACAGCCAAGCTGAAGGTGTCTGGGCCACTACATATATTTCCCAAGCAACGTAAAAGTGGGGTTATTACCTGCAACAGCATGCACATTGTGTGGGATTTGATGCATTCATCTTAAATGAAACTGGTTTAACCCATGAGACATGTTAATAACTACTAAAACAAATACATTGTTATCAACTATTATCTGTAGAATGAAATGTTTTAATATGATGAGTTGATGGCTATTTTGTATCTGAAAGAAATGTTTGTTAACAGTCTAACAAAAAAAAAATCACCTTCATTTTTCATTTTTTTGTAAACCCCATACCTGTGCATTTCCTGCGTGGTCCTGTGATAAGGCAATCAAAACTGGGACTAGCTTTTGTAAGGTGGGCTGACATAACGATTCTTCATGGTCACCACTAAAAACAAAACATTGAAACGGATAAGAATCATCGACAACAGATTACATCATTCACTTTGTACCTAAGAAATCATATGGTTATTTAAAAAGGCCAGCTGCTAAAGCCAACAAGTGAACAAAAAACCTGTATCAGTTTATTAATTTTTTATAAATATGTACCCTCATGTAATGGCAATATGTACGGTACTGTGTCTGTACATAAAAATGGGACGCAAAAACTTACAAAGCAACCAAGTAGGTAAGAACCCAAGCAGCTTCTGATGTCACATCAAGGCAGTTTTCTTCACTTTTGATATGCTGCAGTACAAGTGGAATTATTCCCAGGTCTAGAAGATCTCTGAAAAATAACAAATTGTGTTAGTCTTCATCTGATATACATCTGTTAAAGTGCTAAAGATAACTAGAAACAAAGTACTACAAAATCATCAAAAATTGTTAATTAGTATACCAAGTCAAACAATGATAACCATTTATGAAAACGAAATGGAGTGAAGACTGCAGCTGGCGATTTGTTGCATAGAGAATGTACATACTGGGTGTTGCTCTCTGCCCATCTGACCATATTAGACAATGCAAAGGCTGAGCTCTGGACAACATGTGGGGATGGAGACTGAAATAAAAATGTCCGTGACAGAGTAACCTTATACAAACGACAGCCATTCAATTTAAAAAAAACAAAAAAACAAATGCAACATCACAGATCAAGTCATTTAATGAAGTTCATTTATTACAGGTATCAGCCAAACGATTGAGAACACAAGTTAAGTAAAATATATAATAAACAGATCCGTACCTTCAGTAAGTTAACCAGTGGAAGGAGAACTCCTTGTGCTTTTAACAAATCTCTGCACTCTGGTCCATCTCCTGCCATGTTTCCCACAGCCCAAGCACACTGGTCCTGAACAGCACAATAATATCAGAACATGTCAATGTCTATCTATCTTGACTTTATGGAAAGGATGTACACATTATTAATGCCAAGCAGACACAAAAACACACATATGAGCATTTACATATGCTATAATAATAATAATAATTATTATTATTATTATTATTATTATTACAATATACTGATCTGCTAAACCAGGATATTAGTTGGTACGTTTCACTGTCATATTTCATCATTACAGCACAACAATGTATGCATACAAAAAATTACATATAGTATCAGTATCTTGTCAAGCTTTGATCTGCTAATGAGTAGATCTACTACACAATGAAAGGAATTTGGTAAAATTTATGAGCATCATGTAATTGGCAAGTATTTGACTCTGGGAAAAGAATTTAATTGGTACCTGACATTATGAAAGAGTTTTGAAGACTACATATGACAATAAAACAGCCAGGTTGAATAGGACTGATAACACGAGTAGTGAAGCTTAGAACACTGCCTTTGAGCATCAGCTGCACTGATGTTAAAAGCTTTTGAAGATCATAAAGGTAAATAACAATTCAATGACCTGTAGGTGTGGATTGCTGCCACTGAGATAAGTGATGAGATATGGAGCAGCAGCTTTGGTAGCCTGCAGGGCTTGCTCATGTGTGCCTGCAGCTATGTTGGTCACACACCATGCTGCCTCCATCTGCAGATCTGAATCATGGCCACTCAGCACTCCTACTAAGTGCTGCAGAGCATTGTCAGTTCTGGGCAATGAAAAAAATGTATATAATAAAATGTATTTAAACATTCAACAAGACATTTTTCTTTGTCATTAATATAAAAAATTGCAATATGCCCAATCATAAAAATTGTTGCATAAAAATGTTAACGATTTAGACTAGATCAAAATTTAAAAGCTAAGTATGAAGAAACACAAAGATTTCAATTTCCAACCGACTCTTATGAATATGAATTTCTTTCACTTGAGTAAATAAATGATTTCATTCAAATTCTGCCTCACCTCATAAAGTCCTCTATAAATACACTTCCCTGAGAAAAAGCCTTCCTCAATATTTTAAGTGAATCTTTGACAGATGAATGATCTTGCAAAAATGAAGCACATGCTGCTTTCATCTGAAAATGAAAAGGCTCACATCTGTCACTATAAATGTCAAACAGCTGTTGTGTCATAATTATCAGACCCGTGGCCAGCCATTTCAAAAAGGGGGGGAGGGGGGCTTTTTTTCTGAAAAAAGCCTTGAACATGAAATCTTTGTTCATCTGGATCAAATTTTATCGAGAGCTGACCATTTTCTGGCAAAAAGGGAAGTTTGTTCAAACTCTGAACTCTCCCTTGGCTACATTCCTGCTTATAAAAACTTGTAGGCTGTAGCATATAATGAAAATTTGTAATTATGTCTTTTCAGGGGTTGAAAGATACCGAGAAATATACATATATCTGATTCACAAATTACATATGAAAATGACATATATTACACTGCAAAAGGGCATATCAGAAAACATAGCAGTACTACAATATGAATTTAGAATTACCTGATCCAAAGTAATTTCAACTTCTTCGTCTGCATTATCTAATCTCACTCTCTTGGCATCTAGGGCCTTTGCCTTTCTACTTTTACGTAACTCTAGAGTAGAAAAAAACTTTTTAAATGCAACATTTTCAAAATTCTAAGTTTATTAGAAAAATCAAGGGTGGAATCTTCTGTGAAGGAGTTAAACAACTATCAAAACAAAACAAAGGCAGCTTTAATAATAAACCTTGGGTACCGTGCCCGAGAATGAAACATTTTATTTCAAAAATAATTTTGTTTGAAACAACTTACCATAAATATTGTCTGGATAGTGAGAGATGAGTGTTAAACCTACTGTCGCCATGAATTCTACTGTTCGCTTTAATGCGATTAGTTAACAGAGACCAATGGCATGACTCATATTGGCATTCTCAAGCAATGACTGCAATCTGTCAGAACAAATCCAAACAAAGATGACATACACGTCTAATTTATTTATTCTTACCAATGTCTTCTTGTCTTCGTCTGTCACGAAGATCATCAGGAGTATGTGAGTGATGTTTATATTGCTGTCGGTGGTCCATACCGTCAAGATTTTATTATAATACTAAAAGGACGCAAGAAATCCCGTGGGCGCTGCCATCTTGAATTGTTTTACCTTATGCTTGAAAATTAAAGAAAACAATGTACCCATTTGTCGAGAGGCACTGCAATACAATTCTCAGTGAATCATAAGATCCCAGTTAATCGAAAAATATTACTTAACCCAACAATATCTATATCTCTGCTGTTCATAGCAAGAAAAATCAATAGTAGAACATTTAACTTCCGGCTTGGATCAACTGTGGTAAAGCGCTTATTTCAACTTGGCTATCTTGCCTGTGTACTTCACTTGTCAGAGTCTCAAATATCAACACCATGGTAAGTTAGCCAAAGAGGCATTGATTGAACATAGACTTTGAGTCTATTTTACAGACCTTATCGCACTTCGTCTCATCTTTTTACTAATCGGAGCCGACGCTTAATTTGAAACGATGTCCTCATCCACCTGTTTGCTTTTTCTAAATTTTAGATTGGTCACTAACATGAAAATGTTATAACTTAGACTACATCCATTTGAAATAAAACCACGCAGTTCAGTTTCTAATGCGGGCACCTGATAGGTTTTATAATGATATCCCAGTTACACGTATAACGGTATTTGGTAAAATATTCTCTGAATAGTTCTTCATGTTGCCCATTTGTGTAAGTTGCACTTTTGGTGGAAGGGGGCGTGGTTATTTCAATACTGGGTAGTCATTTTGCTGTATCTCCTCCTTGGTTGTCTACAAGTTAGGTTGCTGTGAAATGATGCACAGGCTACCAAGGGGGCAATGGCTATGCTGAACAAATTTCTGAATTCCAGAAGTATACATTGGAAATTGTTTCCTATCTGACACAAATTCTCAAATAATCAAATTGGCCATGCAGCTTCTTTTGTACAGTTATTTCTTTTGTGCGGTTATTTCCTTCCTGGCAGGAAAAATATTGTCAATATTTGACCTAGCTTGTGCATTCAAAAGTCCATTTTTGGTTTCATTTGTGGTGTTTAATTTCATGGTAGCCTTGCTGGTAGCCATCATGAGGGATCTTACCCTAATCTTGGCTCTGTCAAGTTTAGTAGGCTAAAACAGTCCAGTTTCAATGGAAATTAGTATGAATAATACAATACAAATGCAATACATGCAATACAAGTTAAAATTAAAATTTCACTTCAAACCAATCCCTATACAATGATCTAACAACTGTCTTTAAAAAATTGAAATGTGCGATTTAACACCTATGTATGTTTAAACAAAACTGTATACTTTATTTGACTTTAATTTCTGAACTATTAGTCAAAGAAGAGGGGATTAAGCCTTGAAGAAAAAAGAACAAGGATGATGGAATTTTTCTTTGAAAAGGTACGTACCCTTGCATGTTATTGTACTTTGAGTGTAATATTTAAAGGTATTAATATGTCCAACTCATAAATCAGTGCTCAACCATGATTGAGGCAGGTTATCATTTTGAGGATCTGAACTGGGAAAGATAAAGTGTATTTCACTGCAGGATATCTTAGGCCTTCAGCCAGAAATTTCCAGGGACCTTTCGCTATAAAACCTACATGTTTCTTTAAGATGGTGTAGAACCTAGACCAAATTTTAATTCAGATTGTTGTTATTATTTTTATCAATTATTAATTTTTCTCTATAGAAAAAGTATGGAATGTTTTATAAGTAGGCAATATGTTGATCAGTATCAATTGGTCATTTTTTTTCAGTACAAACAATTCCGAAATTTATTACAGCCAGGTTATTAATCTTTATATTTAAGGTAGTTTGTTTCACAACAGTTTTTGTTTCAATTGCAGAAAGACTGTTTCCAGTTAAAGGAACTAGAAAAACAATGTCAAAAAGAGAAAGGGATCACCTCAATGTCAGTAAAAGATGTTCTTACCAGCCTTGTTGATGATGCTTTGGTGGATACAGACAAAATAGGAACTTCAGTTTACTTTTGGGCTTTTCCAAGTAAAGCCAGTCAAAATGTAAGTGTTAGTTTATACAGTTTGCATGTGAGTTACTAACTTAACCCCCATTTCCAGAGATTAGATCGATCTACTCTAGATTGACCTAACTCCCTGGGGGTTCACGCTAAATAGCTGTCAGCCGGGCGGACACGAAAGTTAATTACCCCCTTACAGCTTGTAGTAGGCGGGACGGACATTCAAGCCGGATTATCTGACAGTAATCTAGTGAGACTCCCCGCGGAGATAGATCGATCTAAAAACTCTGGGAATACAGCCTTAGAGGCAAAGAATGACAAATAGTTTATATCTTGAATTATAAAATATGTCAGAATTGATTTTTTTTTTTTTGTTACTTTTTTCAGAGAAAGAGAAAATTGAATGATCTTGGGAAAAATTTAGAAGAGTTGAAAAGGAAAAAGAGTAACTTGGCGAATGCTATTTGCAAAGCAAAGATGGGGAAAGAGGAAAGCGTAAGTAGCTTTAGGTTTCCAACCACTTTGTAGGTTTTGAACTTCTGAAGGGTTGCTCTCATGAAGTCAAAACTCACGTGGTGTAATACAGTAACTAGATTGTATCTTTTATTGAGTTCAGTCACCTTATATCTGGCACCTCTCCTAACTGATTTGGTTCATGTCTCCAGGAAGCTTTATTGTCAATTATGCTCTGTAATATTTTTTGATATACCTGATATACTATCTCATTTTGTGCCGTAATCTGTCTAGTATATAAATAAATAAACATTGACTTTGGATTCAGCAGTCAGTTTACTAGCATGATAGGCTGAAATGAAAATGAATGATGTCTAGCAGAGTTTTCGTAATATTTCCCTTAAAAAAGAAAGAACAACATATGAAGACTTGAGTATTATATATAATTTTAATGATAGTAAAATTAAAATACACCAACTGCTTCATACTATCATTTAAGTTCAGCCTGAGAGGTGTAAGAAAGGGAAAACTATTACTATAGGAAATGTCTCCCTTAAGAGCCTTGCTTTTTCAATACTTTATATAGAGTATTTGTGCAATACTTTACTCTAATTCTAAAATTTCCAATTATTTTAAGAATAACAGCAATTTCCCTGCTTGTAGGCTGACAGAACCCAGGTCCTTGCAGATCTATCCAGAGCTGAAGATGAAAGAGACAAATTGCGATTAGAAGTTGATAAATATAAAGAATGTGACCCAGAAGTTTTAGAAGCTATGAAGAAAGAGGCACTTATTGCCAAAGAAGCTGCTAACAGATGGACAGGTACAACATATCAGATCAATATTGATGTGATTGCTGATGTAAAATTGCTTAGATGCTTTGATTACAAGAGGTCTTAAATGTAGTCTGTGTTGGGAATTGGGAAATAAAACATCAGGTATTTTTATTTGAGGGGTTTTATCATTCTGAATTGGGAAAGATAATTAGATTTGCAGGACTATATGGAAACAAAGAATTATGACTTTGCATCAGTTTCTAACAATGATAATTGGTATATCCGGCATAAATTATGAGCATGAAGATATGAATAAGACCAGAATTGCATTTTCATTTATGCAATATCTTTATTGTGATATGGGTTTTTTTCTTTTTTCAGATAATATCTTTGCCACAAAATCTTGGATCAAAAGAAAATTTGCTTTTGAGGACAGTGTAATTGACAAACAATTTGGAATACCAGAAGACTTTGACTATTTAGAGTAAAATTTAAAACTGTCAATATCCAGTAGCGGACAGTTCATTGAACATTTCTTTCATCAGATGACCAAGTGACATAAAAGTACAAAATAAACCTGGAGACTTTCTTAATAATTTATTCCTTCTTCTAATCAGTTTAAACACATCTGTAATGCAAAACCTGACTGGTCCATACCCTCTACCAGGGTGACAGATTGATTTTTCACAAGATATTCACAGATATATCTCTAGATAAACAGACAGTCATTTGGCTCTCTGTCACCCTTTATAATTGTTTGCATAACTGCTCAGGCACTGCCATTTGACATGCCCAAGCTAAGTCCCCTTGACAGCAATCAAGACAGTTAATTGTTCTGACCTTAATTACTTTCTCTTCTGTGACAGAAAAAAATAGCCCCTTATAAATAGCTTGTTACTACAGTTACCTGAGGAATCTCCTGTAGTAGCTCCCTACAAAGTGGGTGCAATGCCATATACGCACGTGCAGATTTAATTGCTTACGTCTGGTCAAAAGCCACAGGGTGGCATTTTAAAGATTTCCCTATAATGTCTACCACCCTGGTAGAGAGTAACTAAGGCTTCGTTCACATGGAATGTCTATTTTCTAAAAATCTATTTTCTATTCGCGCTATCTTATGATCACGGTCTGTGCTCTGAATATCCCGCCGCATAATTACTGGCAGCGCGAGCCAGTTACTTATAGTAACTTATAGTAACTGGCTCGCGCTGCCAGTAATTACGCCGCAGGATATTCAGGGCACAGACCGTGATCATAAGACACCGCGAATAGAAAATAGAATTTAGAAAATAGACATTGCATGTGAATGAAGCCTAATCCATCTTCTTGAGTCTGAGGGAATATAAGACCACAACTACATGTACCCTGCTTCAGGAAGGGCGAATGCAAGTGAATAATCGCTGCATACCAAAGAAGGAATGTTTTAACATGTTGACTGGTTTCAATCACAATGCACATCTTTAGTATTAGTGTAAATTACTTTTAAGTCATGGAAAATTGAAATAAATACCAGTATTTATAAAACCTTCCAAATCAATTCAGGCCAGTATCCTTATAGTATCCTGAAACTGAACCTGTATATCAATTTGGCTTAATGCACAGTAAATTTCCACATTAAAATTAAGACACAAATCACCTATTCTAATATACAAGAAATTAATGAGTACTGTCATTTTTGCTTTGGCACTTGAAGGAACTATCTAGTGTTATTATTAAATGAGTATTTTTGTAAAATTTGAAATGTTGAAATTTTAATATGATATTATGCACATTTTATTCGTTTAAATTACAAATGGTAACAAACACTTTCACACATCTGCACCAAATAATCTGGGACTGATCAAAGTTTGGTCCCTGGGAGGTATAATGCTCCTGTGGAATTCATCATCAAAACATCTCAAAACAGTGTCACCTGCTTTAAATATATAATATAGTAAATATATGCACCATGTTGGTTTTTCAGTCTTTTAAATGGCAAAAGGCTGCCATAGTATGTTGGGACAGATTTTGGATATGCCCTCATTGCTGTTGAGTCCTCCTGTTGGGCCTTATAGGTCGATAAAGATACACGGCCACAATTACATACAATGCTGCCAAGCCCAGAAGCACTCCTAGTGTCAGACCTACAATACAGTAATGTTAGCCATGATGTTATTATAACATTCAATGCATTACATGCATTAAAGAGTTAGCTATTGCGTGGAAGCAAAATGGATGTAGCTGGGAGACATAACTGGCTATACCAAGTACAAAAATATATTTTTTTACTTTCAAAATCTAGTTTCTTGTGATAAGTGGGGTTTATCTTAACTTACAAAATATTTATGATTGGGATTATTTGTCATTACAGTGTTTTAAGGTAAATGAATTGGTTCTTACAGTCTGTTTTATAAGAAATTGTAGCATTTGTACTTCATGTAAACCATTACTGGTATAATATTAATGAAAAAAATTCTAATGTTGGATCTTACATTGAAACACAGTTCATGACATTCCAACCTTACCGAAAAGCCTTCTTCAGGTGAACTGAATCTGATTTGTCACTGATGTCTTGTGGTGACAGTCTGTGAAAGATGTCTCCCAGGGCCTGGTCCCACAGATGTGGTAGTTGGTATCTCGGATCACCATGCTTGTTGAGGGTAGGTTTGTTCAATCTGGTGATTAATGGCCTCCATCTCTTCTGTCACCATGTAAGGCCAGTGACAACTAAAAACCAGTTCACCTGTAGAGGGTCTTGTGATAAGGCTGAAGCACTGTAATCTCCATTTCAACAAAAATTCCAGAATTTTTTTACATTATCTCAACATAATAAGGCTGGATAAAGCCAAACTTTTAACTTGATACAGTATTACTAGCAAAAAGTTCACCTAGTTTTTGTTTTTTCAGCACTTCAATAACATTATTCCCATGTTCAGGATCACTCGCTATCCCGATCATATCTTGATCAACGTGTTGTTGTGGTATGTTGAATTTCTTTTTTTGTTTTCAAACACCTGAATTTAAAAAAATGAGTGACAGCATTATGGATTATGTAGTACAGTAATGTACAAATAAAAGTTTTTATCTTCTTTTTCTTTCATTGCCACTTGGGATAATATGTATTTTCGGATGTTTTCTTACTTACGTGAATATTTGCCTCTGGAATGTTGAAAATAATTAAACCAGATCACTTAAACTGGGCCAAAATAAACGTTATGGAACAGGAAGGCGAGAAATTTCAGTATGCTTCCTAGTTGACCTAGTTTTCAAATAGGTCATTGACAGGCTCGCAGTTTCCGTTCCATTTTTGTTTATTTTCAATAACATATTTTTAGAGAAAATAATTCACGTAAATTTCATTTTTAAGAATATATTATTACATTCTACGCTTGCATAAAAAAGTGAGCAATTTTAAGACAAGAGAAGGAAAACGATTTGCATCTGTCTAACCCTTTTTTGCCGTGACCAGTAGAACGTAGGTTGTTCCAAGGACGAAAGTGACAGATCCCTTCCAATATGTTACGGTCGAAGGTTTTGATTCAAGGGGTAATGCCAACAATGAAGGGTGCACTAGAATTACAGTATATGGTCAGATCATGTGGTGTAGTTCGTATGTTATGTGCTCCGAATGCTGGCTGTGGGCAAATTGTCCCAAAAAGAAGAGTTTCGAGCACTGGTAAAAGCAGCTCTAAAGGACACAAAGACTTGGTCTGTAACACGAGAATCAGAGGGATTGACATTACAAGAGACCCTAAACTTAACAAGGTAATGATAAAGACAAATTTATTTATACGTTTTATTACACAATAACATGATGAATTCAATTGCAATTTGCACGTACACTCGATACTATTATACATTATTTGTACCGGATATACCGGCCGGTATACTGGAATTAAAATGAATTTCATGCAGTGGCACTCCTATTTGTACGGTTTCTGATATGTACTAGTTGTACTAAAACAGATTAAAGAGTAACCACATGGAGTATATAACAAATAACTTAAAGAGGATAGTGCTAATGCATGAATTTTCGTGGCGTATGGGTATGCATGTGCAGAAAACATTATTATATTTATATATTTACTTATTTAGTTATTTGTTCATTTGTTTATTAAATTAATACAACATGTGATTGTATTTTTACCAGTAAAACAATTCTCTTCTATTATTAAAAACCATGGTTGGATCACCAGTTTTGCACCAATATTTTGTGAAATTTCCATTTTTGTTGAGATCTGCATTACATGTAGCTTGTTAACTTAAAGTCACTATACTTGTTCCTAAAATATATGTTTTTCTCTCAGGGAATGGCCTTCACACTGAAGGAGCGCCAAGTAATGGGTCTCCAGGGTCTCCTGCCCCCAGCAATCATCCCACAAGATCAGCAGGTTTATCGAACAATGCAGAACTTTTACCGAAGAGAAAATGATCTGGACAGATACATCTACCTTACAGCTTTACAGGAGAGAAATGAGAAGCTATTCTACCGTGTCCTTACAGAGAATGTAGAACTTATGATGCCTGTGGTATATACACCTACCGTGGGCTTGGCTTGTCAGAAGTTTGGCTTGATCTACAGGAAACCTAGGTAGATATTTGGTGTGACAGAATCATTATGAATGTTTAAATTAAGGGTGACATGTACAGCTGTATATGCTATATCATAAATGATTTTTGCAATTATCTAGATAATTGATTTGGCAGATTAATATATATATGTCACAAGGTCTTTGTACTGTAGTACAAAAAGTTACAGCTGTATTTAAGTACTGAAATTGATGGTTTTAATGCAGAAAATTATTCCAATTTACAATTACAGGGGCCTATACATAACAGAGCACGATAAAGGGCATATTTATTCTATCCTTTGCAACTGGCCAGAAACAGATGTAAAAGTAGGTGAACAATTAAGTACATTTAAGTTGCATATTAAGAATTTCCTGCAAAAACCTCGTACTTAAATTTTCCTGGGGCACACAATATTTTTCTCCAAGTGACATTTGATCCTCCTTTTTTGACACTTGCCATAACTTTGTTAAAAATCTGAAAAAAGTTTAATAGTCTTTATCCCATTCTAAAATATGGGTTATTCAAATTATATCATACCTCACACTAACTTCCTGGTTGTGCACAATTCAAATCTAAATTATTGATGGTGGTGAGATATGTCACAAGGTGATAAATTAGATTATTTTTGATGAAATGAATACTTAGCATTTATCTGATAAAATTATAAATATGACATTATTAATATTAATAAATTTATGTAATTTATTTATATATTTATTTCATTATTTTCATTTAATTATCATCAGTTCACTTATTGGCAAGGCCATTATTTATAAGATACAAAACACACTGTATATCACAGGAATAATACAATGATAGTTAAGTTAATGCAAAAAGCATTTGCATTTGTTGTATGTATTATTGTGCTTGGTGTGTGCAATGAACAACCAAACAAACAATTTCCAGGCTATTGTGGTAACAGATGGAGACCGTATCCTGGGCCTGGGTGATCTTGGGGCCTATGGAATGGGGATTCCAGTGGGAAAACTGTCCTTGTACACGGCTCTGGGGGGCATCAAGCCACACCAGTGCCTTCCCATCCTTGTGGATGTAGGAACTAACAATCCTGTAAGTGCCACAAGTTTTAATCTTTCAAAACATGTATTAAAAAGTACTTCCTTTGTATTCAGCTAGAATTAAATACAGTAGTTTATTATATGTAAACTAGACAAAGCATCTGATGCCTGCATATGTATGATGTTTTAATCTGTAATAAAGTTGGCTACATTGAGTGTTGCAAATCATGGCCAGCTATGGTTTTCAGAAATTAGATTAATCATTATTGTTTTTATTTCCTTGCAGGATTTGCTTGATGATCCACTGTATATTGGTTTGAAACAACGACGAACCAGGGGAGATACCTTTTATGATCTGCTTGATGAATTTATGGAAGCAGTCGTTAGGAGGTAAAAAATATGATATGTTGAGAAGATGAAAATTTATCTTATCGAAATCACAGAGTAGGATACTGTTATAACTGAACCAAGACTTCGACCAATGTTCGATTAGGTATAAATGTCCATTAAAGAATACATGGTTTAAGGCAATGCTTTAAAAGTGTGTGTGTATATTCCTAGTATCTTCACTTTTCTTAGGTATGGTCAAACTTGTTTGGTGCAGTTTGAAGACTTTGGCAACCAAGATGCTTTTACTCTTCTGGAAAGATATAGAAACAGATATTGTACTTTTAATGATGACATCCAGGGTAAGGTTGGGGAAAAGGTGTTGTTAGGAATATATATTTTGTTTAACTTCCTTATCACTTATGCTAAATAATAAAAAGAACTTATTTAAAGAATTTGCTTACATCGACAGGACAGCAAATGTCACCCCTTTCCTCCATTTGCTTCAAATTTCAGAAGTAAAATAGAATACAGAAAACACAATTACGTAACATAAAAATTTTTCTTGAATGTGCTTTACTATTCTCAAAGAAATTGTCATTCTTACAATATTTTAATGTTAAATAACTTAAATTTCTGCAGGGCTATAGCCAGCTTGATATTTTATTTAACATATTTTGAAGGGTACTGCTGTACATATTTGGATTATTATAGTCTCATTTACAGACCCCTTCTCTCTGCACTCTGGTTTCATTGCGAATTAGCATTTATCAAATCAATGTTGACATTTTGAAATTAGTTTAAAGGGATAATAACTCTTTGTATGAGATCTATATTTCACAATAAAAACATAGTGAACAACTCATAGAAATATAATATATTTTGTTTTACCCCAAAAACGGCAGTTATAGCTTTTATTCTGATATCTGAGCTTGTCATCGAGCATGTGACCTCCATAGATGGCTATACTCTGTAATAATCTCTTAAGAGATTATAACAAAAAAACTAACTTTTTAGAAAAAGAAAACAGGGACTAACTTTGAATGTAGAAATGAATTCACTAACCATTGGTAAGTATGGGAAAATTGTTGTTTACTCCAGGAAAATTCATTTTTTGGCTAAAACAAACAGTTATTATCCCTTTAATTGTTACATATTCAGAAGAAAATAATAATTTTATATTGTTTGTTATAATGTCTCAACCATGAATTCTTGCTCCTTAAGAAGCATATCTTATGAGCAGCATGCAAGGTTAACTGTTCTGTGTAATGCATGTTATGTGAAAGAAGTGCCCTTTGGCTGGGGAAAGGTCTGCTTCGAAAAAAATTGCCAGTACCAAAGCTCTTGTAGGTTTACCAGAACAGGGTCCACTGTGAAAAAAGAAAGACCCCTCCCCCCCCTTTGACATTGCTGGCCAAAGGCCTGTGTTATGTGTAGAGATTTTTGTTTGATTTGTGTTACTATGTTTTGTGATGTATAGAAATATGTGTATCTTACTGTAGTACTTACCTGACATTTTTAGTACTTGTACATATTGTTCATAGCTGATGACCCCCCTCCTTTTGGTTTGATTATTATTACACCTAATCCAATGTGATGTGAAATGTATTCGTGTTGTGATATGTTCTACGTTTCACATCACCTGTCACATAACATTTTTAAATATTATAACCACTTCAAATGAATACAATACCCCAGCACCCATCTCAGGTCCTTTTGTCTCCTTATGTACACCCTGTTTTACAACTTCTCAACCTTTACCAGTTTACACCAATCCCCAAATGCCAGAAGTAAGTTATTTAAGGTGTTTTTATATAGCATGTGTGTAGTGAATGTTATAAGCTTACTACAAGAAAATATCCCTATGTGTAGGTACTGCAGCTGTAGCTGTAGCCGGGGTATTAGCTAGTCTAAGGATCACCAAAACTAGGCTCTCAGACAATGTGTTCCTGTTCCAAGGGGCAGGGGAGGTGAGTATATCAAGTATATATTACATATTTTCAGCACATTCAGAACAGATGATCTGTGGACTAACTGATCTGACAACTAGATATGGCTGACCCCACTCCAACAGTGATCGGCTGGTTCCCTAATGTCCCCCCCCCCCTCCCCATGTTCCCAACCTCCACAGCCTTCGCTGCAGGGGCCAACCAGTTAAACCTTGGAATCAAGATTTTAGCTGTTTAAGGCTTCGTTCACATGCAATGTCTATTTTCTAAATTCTATTTTCTATTTGCGGTATGTCTTATGATCACGGTCAGTGGCCTGAATATCCCGCGGCGTAATTACTGGCAGCGCGAGCCAGTTACTATAAGTTACTATAAGTAACTGGCTCGCGCTGCCAGTAATTACGCGGCGGGATATTTAGGGCACAGACCGTGATCATAAGATAGCGCAAATAGAAAATAGAAATTAGAAAATAGACATTGCATGTGAACGAAGCCTAATTGCACATGTGGAGGCGGGACACCATTGGAATTAGCTGCATCACTTTTAAAGTGGGGTTGGCCACATTTAGTCAGCAGATCAGATGGTCCTTGGATCATCGGTTCTGAATGCACTCTGCACTCTTAGTGTGTGCTCACGACAGACAACTGCACAGTAGCTGCTTTCACATGCACAAGGATATTTTTTCCTCATTTTTCTTTTTGTAGAAAAAATAGAGTTGATTAATTTTTTGGCTAAAATTAGGCAGTAATGTTTAAATGATTATTTATTTTGCATCTTATATGTTGTCATATTTACATACATACACACTTGTTTTTCCATTTTTCTCCTAGCAACCACAAATTTATTACAATATTGTTCATATGTATAATCTGTTTACAATGTTTTTGCCACGAAGGCATCCATAGGTATTGCCAATCTCATCGTGATGGCTATGATGGAGGAAGGGACGTCAAGAGAACAAGCTCTGGAAAAAATATTTTTAGTGGACTCCAAAGGACTCATTACAAAGGTTTTTTGTAATTTCATTCCTTACATTATAGAAATATAAGCAGGTATTCTAGGCATAACTTTTTTTATTTTTTATTAACTTTTAAAAACCTTTTACTGCATTTTACTTTACTATTTAAAGCATGGGTTTTTAAGATGAAATTTCTGCTTGAATATAAGATTATGACCCTCAAAAATAAATATCACAACAAAGTTAGTTCTTGAAATGTTAAAGAAAGATGGAAATTTTGGGGTTCCTAATGAACATCAGTTGTAATATTATTATTTATTTCTGTTTCAGGATAGACCATCTGGTGGCATCACTGAGCACAAGGCACCATTTGCCAAGAATATGCAGCACATAGGGGACCTAGGACAGATTGTCAAGGCTGTCAAACCCACTGCACTGATTGGTATGTCATCAGTTGAACACAAAACCATTTGTATTATGCTAAGACTGGGTTCCCATACCTAGATCGATCTAACAGGATCGATCCATCTCTGAGCTGTCAGCTGAAGTAGCTTAGATGTCTGACATGCCTACTGAAGCTGCTAATCGATAATTAATTAATTACCCCCTAACAGTAGGCGTGACAGACATCTAAGCCACTTAAGTTGATTGCAATTTAGTGAGAATCCCCTTCGAGATAGATCAATCCACAGTTAGTACAATATGGTCTGGGAATGGTCCCTTAGTCTGGAAAAGTGGTGACACACATTTGGAAGGTTTATGGTGGTCAAACATGATACGTGCACTTAATGTTTTTGTGTGATACTGATATTAGTGTCAGGATGAATAATTACTCCAGATTTGTTAGATAAAACAACCACTTGATAAGCTGTTGTGTTTATGCACGACATGTTTATTACTGTTGGTATTATATTTATGATAAAATAATATGCATATGTATGTTATTTCTGATATGTAAATCTATTTTAATGAGTTTGTTTTTTAATTTTAATATACAAACTAAGATGCAGAATAAACATAAAAACAGTAGATTGGCCTTACAAATATATCACAACACAGCTACTGCATTTGAATTTTACATCATATTATGCTGTGTTTGCAGGTGCTGCAGCTATTGCAAATGTTTTTACTGAAGATATAATTCGTGACATGGGCTCTTTTAATGAGAGACCAATCATCTTTGCACTGAGTAACCCCACCAGCAGTGCAGAATGTACAGCTGAGGAGGCATATAGATACACTGAGGTAAAGTGCACTTGGGTAACAATTGTTTATTCATATATTTAAAAATACAGATATGGATAAATGTGCATTATAAAATCTACTTAAACTGATCCTGAAATATGAGAGGAAAATGTTTTCTAGTTTTGGGAAGATCCATGCCACTGTTCTATTTTCATAATATTCCTGCCTGTGGATACATTTACATGAAACCTGCTGAACAAAATTTTTGTAGGGTCGCTGTGTGTTTGCCAGTGGAAGTCCATTTGATCCAGTGACAGTGGATGGGAGAACATTCTTCCCTGGTCAGGGCAACAATGCTTACATTTTCCCAGGAGTTGCACTAGCCACGATAGCCTGTGGCATCAGACATATATCTGATGAAGTGTTTCTCAAGTCTGCAGAGGTACCAGTAGTATATGAACTAAATGTCCATTGAAATTTTGATTTTGTTAATTCCTGTTTAATAAGAGGCGTTTATATTAAGGATATTCTTCAACCAATGATGCTCTATGTTTTACAGTAAGGTTTTAGTTTGAAGTAAACATTATAATTGTACTTTTAAAATATTATATGTTATAATTTGAACATCTGATGGAAGCCAGCAGTTACAAAGCATGTAAAAATGCTTCATTGACAATCATCAGATGCAGGAAACTCTGCATATATCTATATGCATGTAGGTATAAAAATGTGTGACTAGAGTCAAATAATCAAACACTGTCTGTTGAATATTCCAGTATCTAGCTGCAATGGTGGACAACGAGCACCTGGCTGAGGGCCGAGTGTATCCTCCATTGTCTGACATCCAGAAAGTGTCCACAGAAATAGCCACCAAGCTGGCAGAGTATGCATACAAGAAAGGGAATCTTTGTGCCCACTATCCTGAGCCGAAGGACAAAGAAGCCTTCATTAAATCTCACCAGTATTCCACAGATTATGAAAGCTTCCTGCCAGATATTTATGATTGGCCAGGGCATGAGAGTCAACTGTAAATTCTTGACCTGTCATGTAACATTGCCATTATTGGCTTGTGCAAGGTTTGAGTGCAGTTCTACATTTATTTCTATGTTTTGTTTCAAGCACTTTTTTCTGGATTAAGCAGACTATCAAGTAATAAAAAAAACAAAAACTTAAAGCTAGGTTTGTTATGTGAGATTCGGTTGTGCTTAAGAATATTCAGGAAAATTAGATCCCTATTTCTTTGGCATCTTCTGGAAGGTTTTGTTTAAATCTCATCTTAGCTTTGCCGCAACTGAAACTGTCAGCATTCTTTACTGGCTCTATGGCTGCGCCTAATCTAGTATTTCTCAAGATATTAATAATCATCCCTCCCCCCCCCCCTCCCAAACACACACACCAAGAAACAAGAAACATATTAGAAAAACACTATTTTCCAAAATGTGTGGATCTAATTTTCATGCCTTTCAACGGAAGCTGTCTATAGATCCAATTAAACTTTAACTTAGTTGGCTGGAAACAATTATATTAATTTATTTCATTTAAAGCTGGCTCTTTTCATGTTTTAAGCTGACGTTTCATTTCTACAAGCAGAAAAAGTTTATTTTGAGATGCATTATCATAACATTTCACTTTTTACCAGAATTTAACAGTCATTTTCTCCCGTTTCTGCAAAATATACACCAACTAATGTAACTTGATGGCTTTGAATCAGCATTCTTGTAACTTTGTTGTGACAACAATGTGTTAGGGAGGCAAGAATGCTCAACAGCAGTAAGGTAAGGTGTAATTTTATAAATAAGGTTTTTTTTTAATATCCTTATCATTAACAATATTTTGGCTTGCGTTTACCATTTCAGGAGCTAGTTCAGTACCATTTATTTAAAACATTACAAGATTATCAGAATATTTTGAATTATACAAAGAATTTATTGCCAATTTTTAATTTAATTGCAAATTTTTTTTCTGGCTGATATTTCCATGTAAAGGTCATTTTCTCTATATGAAATTGTTACTGTACAAGATGTTATATTTTCAAGTACGTCTTTTTAAATTAAAAAAATAGTATTTAGGATTATGTCCTCATACTTGTTGTACGCTATAGACAGTAAAACATTGATCTGACCTAGTCACCTACTGATGATTAGGTTATAATTGTAAAAAATGAAGAATTAAGGAATAGATTTTAACCAAAGAACTGTGTATTTATATGAAATACAGTTTATTCAAGGTCAAAATTTCAGTCATCAGTCTTTTTTTCAATTACCTAAATTGTATTAAAATATATATATATATCAAAGTAGTTTATGCTTGTATTTTCAAGTGTTATTTTTTTAATATTCAGTAAACAATATTTATTTCTGAGTCAACTAATAACAACCTATCAAGAAGAAATGTGTGAAACTAATGTTTGTTAATTTCAAAACAATTGTGATTGCACCGCAATTTTTGCAGCACACTCTGCTTTTGTAACTCGCACCATTTGATATTGACTATCATTTGTCCACGGTACACAACTGAACAATTTGTCATGTTAAGATTTAGTGTGATGGCCATCCCTGTCATGTCAAGACAAGGCTAGTCATTAAGGCCACTTTCCTGGTGAAGTATTTTGTCAATTCACATTGTGAGATTATATGACATTATTCAAGGAGTAAATGTTCAAAATGTAGTCTAGTAAATTTATTTATAAGTTTTCAGCATATGTGAAATAGCATTTCTAGACCACATTAGATGCTGTTAAGTTTTACAGGTGTTCATTTTTAAGTTGAAAGCAGGCAGTCAACAGGTATTCTGAATTAGTTTCATTACAAACATAATGTCTGCTGCATGCATGAGTAAATAGTTGCTTCTCGCTGTTGTGATGCTACTTTAATTGGTATCAATGCATTGTATGAATGCCACAGTGTCAAACTCACTGCTCATCATTGTAAAGAACCAAGATTAATAAAGTAATACTAGATATTTGAAAAAGTCAACAATAAGTTTTGTTTTTCTTACAGAACACAATCCATACATATTTCTTTACATCGTTACTATTGAGTGGAAAAATCAGTATGGTGGAGGAGATTTTGCTTGCCATGACTGATGTACAAGTCTGCAATAAGAAGACCAACAAGAAAACCATCACCTTAAACAACCAATGTTTATAATACAACAATGGAAAGGAACAGGACTTGACAAAACTGGAATGAAAGAAAGGAAA